CAGCACACATCCTTGTGGGGCTCCTGTGTTCGTCATGATGGTGCTGGAGGTGTTGCCGCCGACCCGAACTGCCTGTGGTCTCTCCGTCAGGAAGTCCAACAGCCAGTTGCACAGGGAGGTGTTGAGCCCCAGGTGGTCCAGTTTGTGGATGAGCTGCTGCGGAATGATGGTGTTGAATGCTGAGCTGAAGTCGAACAGCATTCTGACGTGTGAGTTCTTGGTCTCCAGGTGGGTGAGGGCTGAGTGGAGGGCGGTGGAGCTGGCGTCTGCAGTCGATCTGTTCTGTCGATATGCAAACCGGTAGAGGTCCAGGGTGGGGGGGAGGGCAGACTTTATGTACTGCATGACTCACCGCTCGAAGCACTTCATGAGGATGGGGGTGAGTGTGACCGGGCGGTAGTCATTGTAGCTGGAGGGGGACTACTTCTTCGGGACCGGGATGATGGTGGTGGCTTTGAGACAAGTGGGGACAACAGCCTGGCTCAGTGAGGTGTTAAAGATGTCTGTGAGAACATCTGTGAGCTCCTCAGCACAGTCTCTCAGGACGCGACCAGGAATGTTGTCAGGACCTGCCGCTTTCCGTATGTTTGTTCTCCTGAGGGAACATCTCACACTATCCTGCGAAAGCGTCAGCACCTGGTCGCCAGGAGGGGGTGGGGTCTTCTGTGCTGGGGTGTTGTTGTCTATCTCAAAACGGGCGAAGAAGTCGTTCAGGTTGTTCAGCAAAAAGATGGAGCTGTCGCAGGTGTGCGGAGAGGGCTTGTAGTCCGTGATGGTCTGGATCCGCCGCCACAGGTTCCTGGTGTCTCTGCTGTCCTTGAACTGGTCTGCGATCCTCCTTGAATATTGTCTCTTGGCCAGTCTGATGCCTCGTGACAGGTTGGCCCTGGCAGTCCTGAGGCCCATCACGTCTCCAGCTCCGAAGGCAGTGTTCCTAGCCCTCAGGAGCCTGTGGACCTCCCCTGTCAGCCATGGCTTCTGATTGGCCCCGGATGGTGATGGTTCTGGTGACCGGAACATCATCCATGCACTTCCTTATGTAGGACGTGACAGTCTCCGCGTACTCATTGAGGTTAGTGGTTGCATGTTTAAACCCACTCCAGTCTGTGGTGGAGAAACAGTCTTGGGAGTGCCTCTGTGGACCCCTCAGGCCACACTCGTACCTGCTTCCTCACTGGTTTGATGACTTTCATCAGTGGCCTGTACGCTGGCATTAGCATCACAGTGGTGTGGTCTGAGGCACCAAGGTGGGGGACGGGGAGGGCTTTGTAGGATCCTCTGATAGTTGAGTAGACATTGTCCAGAGTATTTGTGCCTCTTGTGGAGTTGTGGAAGCACACTCTTGGGGTTTGCATGACTGAAATCTCCAGCCAAGATGAGAAAGGCGTCGGGGTGGGCTGTCTGCTGCTCACTGATGTGCTGATGGAGTTCAGACAGAGCCATACTCCTGCTGTTGGTTGAGCCAGGGGGAATGTATATTGCTACCAGCAATATGGCACTAAATTCCCTCGGCAGGTAGAATGGCCGGCATTTGATAATCATAAACTCCACCGTTGGTGAGCAGCACTTGCAAACCACAACAGCATCACGGCACCAGGCTTCGTTGATGTAAACACAGAGTCCCCCGCAGTGAGTCTTCCCCACCTCGACGGGCTTTCTGTCTGCTCGGTAGCACTTTAGCCCGGCTAGCCGAATAGCCCGGTCCGGGACACTGTCGTTGAGCCATGTCTCCATGAAAACAATGACGCAGCAGTCATTCACGGTTTTGCAAGTTGTTTGAAGTAAGCGGCTATAGTCCAATTTGTTGTCCAGCGACCGTACGTTGGCCAGCGTGATGGTCGGGATAGCCAGTCGATGAGGGCTAGCTGCTAGCCTAGCCCGGATACCTCTGCGCTTCCCCCTCTTCTGCTTCCTCTGATTCCGTCCATGGCGCTTCCACTGCGGGCTTGTTGCAGGAGTTGGGGTCGGTGATCAAGCAGGCCTCCGCAGCAGACCGCAGTCACGCGGCAGGCCGCAGTCAAGCAGTTTTTCTGCCTTCGTTGGATTACTGTCCGTTTTTTTAGTTCTGCCGATGGCGAGCAGAAACTCACGAGGGTATGCGCACCTTGGTGCACAACTCAATGAAAACAAGGAACATAAAGAACACGAAGAACACTGATTTGCAGGGGGAGGGAGAGAAGCCGCTGCGGGTAGCCGCGCCGCCATCTTATTCGTCTCGCAATGGAGAAATTCCCAATTCACAGCTCAAATCTTAATGAACACGTCTGCTCACTATGGAACGCTACATGAGGAAGCGTCACTTCCTGGTGTAAGGAAGGGGAGAGGAGTCAAGTGGCGTATTCAAGTGCGCTCAGTTTGGTCAAGAACCGATTTTCGGTCGTAATCCGAGGCATAAAAAACTCGAAATTTTGGGTCGAAAACCGATTTGGTCGAGAACAGAGACATGCGAAAACCGAGGTTTGACTGTAATCTAGCGAGGTGTGATGAAGGCATAAATTACTGTTCCAGCAGAGAAAGAACAAGGGCCACTGGGACCAAAAACCATCACTTCTGTTTTCTGTTCTTTGAAATTGAAGACATTCAGTGCCATCCAGTCCTTGACTTCTTCCAGACAAGATAAAAGTGGCCTGAATGAGAAAGCGTTTTTTTGCTCAGCGGGACATAGATCTGACAGTCATCCACATAGCAGCGGAAGGACAATTCATGTTTCCTTTAGAAGGAACCCAAACCCTGTGGAACACCATACGACAGTGGGGCAGTTGGTGACTGAGAGCAGCCGAGGCTAACACAAAAGGTTCTGTCAGCCAAAATGGACCTAAATCACTCAAGCATGCTACCGCTAATGCCCACTTGGTGCTGCAAATGAGCCAACAGAATACTGTAATCCACTGTATCAAACACTGCAGTTAAATCCAATAAAACCAGACAGGCATAGTATCCAGTGTCATTTGCCAGGAGGATGTCATTAAAAACTCTTAACAGGGCTGACTCTGTGCTATGCATCATCTTGAAACCTAACTGGAAGACCTTCATAACATTATGTTCATCCAAGATTTTAACTGTGAAGGCCTTGATGCTTCCTGGTCACTATTCTTTATGGACAATGTGTGTCATATTGTGAAGTTAAATTTGACAAAAATGCTTGGAATGCAACATTAGGATCTTCATTTGAGTAAATCTCAGACCAGTTTTGATTTTCTAGATTCATCTTTAAAGCAGTAATTGTTGTGTTCTAGGTATTATTTCTGATGTTTGCATTATGTGTTTTAATTGCAATCATCTTGACTAAGTGCAAACCCAAGCAAGTGATCATTTATATCATCTGAAAGACCACCTACTATTTCATAATGAATTTTATTAGATATAGCATATTAATGTGGCTGTATCTATTGTAACTCTATGCCTGGTAGGTTTTATAATTACCGGAAAAAGACAATTCCTAAACATTGTATTAATAAAGTCAACTTTCTGGTGGCAATTTGGATGTAATTAATCAACATATAGGTCCCCACAAAATATTCTTTTTTTTCAACATTTGAATAGCCAAGCATGTCAGCAAGTTTCTTATTAAACAGATCAAGGGAAGCTCCTGTTGTTCTACAGAGATAACAGAGATTGGAGTGTAACACTTATGAAGAGACGGAAAATACATTGATTAAGCTAAATCTGTTTGAATTACAAGACAGTGTACAAGATTTTTGCATTTCTGTAGTGTTTCACTTGGTCATTCCAGGTATCCAAAATACTTTCCTGAAGATCTGATGTCGCATTTTAAAATGAAAGGCCTCTGAAATCTGCAATTTTGACCAATACCCCTGACTTAAATAAGTCAGAAATTTCTAATTTCATCATCCCGTAACCACACAAGGTCTAAGGCAGGGGTGTCAAAATCATTTTTTTGTCACGGGCCACATTGTAGTGACTGTTTTCCTTGGAGGGCAGGTATGACTGTGAAAACATATAAAGAAGTCCAGAATGGTTAATTCAACGATTGTTTAAGTTACTGTGATTAGGGGTTTGGTTACAAGAAAATGCTTACAATGTCTCACCTATTTATTACATATGAAAAGTTTACATTTCGGTACAGATTTAAGGCCTTGAGTTTGACACCCGTGGTCTCAGGCACATTAGACCAACCCAGTTATCCAACCACGTACTTTCATTATGATCTGATTTTGCATTTCAAAACAAAAGGCCTGTGAAATCTGCAAACACATTTAGCAATTCACACGCAGAATTGAATACTGTATTTACAACTGATGTGTAATGATAAATGCACACTCAATTTTAAAATTCACATGTGAAAATCACACACATACTGTACTTGTGAATATGAAAAATGTGAAAATTGCAAATATATTTGTGGATCTGAAAAATGTGTGAAAATTGTGGATGTATTTGTGTGAATAATGTTGAGACAAATCTCTTCCCATAAAATGAGGGTCAAAGTCGTCTGCGAATTCACTGTGGGCAGACGGCAACACCACAGATAGCACTAAGATGACTGCACATGCTAGTCGATATGGTTCAGCACAACACTGTTGTACAATTATGGCAAATGGGAAAATCTATCAGTAAAATATTTGACGTCTCCCCCCCCCCCCAAAAAATGTTCGGTTTTGATCGCACACGTTTTACATTGACAAAAAAAAAGTAAACTTCATTAAAATTGGTTAAGAAATTAGTGACTTAAAATGAATATCCATACATTGCCCAATATGGGGAAGTCGCCCCTGCCAATATGGCCGCGACGTCGGCACGGTTGTTTACCGGGCTGTTCCAGCGTGCTGTCGTCATGTTCTGAACTGTGGTCCCGCCTATCAACATACGTCAAAGTGGCAAGTCCAAAATGGAGAGGGGGACCATGGTAGTCGCAAACATTGTTTCAAACAAAATCTGCATACGTGCTCAATGTAAAAGGACGTTTTGAAAATTAGTAGATATAAGATTCCCTTTTAAGCACTTTAGACGAATTTAGCTGTCATCTTCAAAAGGTAAATTGTATTTAGGATTTCATTGTACACCTCATTAAGCTAGTATGCCTCCGTTCAATGTTCAGCAGAATATGATGTAACATATACCGGCTGTCTGTCGGAACTACGTGTCAACAGGTAAGTCATTTAGGGAACGTTCTTCAGTTGAATTTGTTTTGTTAAGTTGCTCGAGGTTCAGCGGCGCATTGTCATCCCGTTAATTGTTAAAGTACAGTTAATAATGAATCCAGCTCGCCGATGTTCAGCTCTCCTGAGCCAAATGTGTATTTCATCGCTGGAGGGAAGTACAACCAGAAGAGCACTTTCACCGGTTCCTTCTGCTATACCGCCGGTGGAAATACGGTGCCATTATCACGGTTGGGAGAATATAGGTCGATCTCTGAAGTCAGGTGGAGCATCCACAAGGGGAACAGTGTCAGGTACGGTATGTCTCCAATTAATTCATTGTCCACTGTTTTCCGTCGACAAGTGTCAGTTTTATAGGTGCTGCCATCACTGCCCGCAGTCTGACTTGGGCCGCTATGACAGGAATTTATCAAGTTGTGCGTTCGTTTGGCTGTCAATGCTTATGTAGTAGCATTCATTCATTCATTCATTTTCCGAACCGCTTTATCCTCACTAGGGTCGTGGGGGGTGCTGGAGCCTATCCCAGCTGTCCTCGGGCAGCAGGGAGGGGGACACCCTGAACCAGTTGCCAGCCAATCACAGGGCACACAGAGACTAACAACCATCCACGCTCACACTCACACCTGGGGACAATTTGGAGTGTTCAATCAGCCTGCCATGCATGTTTTGGGAATGTGGGAGGAAACCGGATGACCCGGCAAAAACCCACGCAAGCACAGGGAGAACATGCAAACTCCACACAGGAAGGCCGCCGGAGCTGGAATTGAACCCGGTACCTCTGCACTGTGAAGTCGACGTGCTAATCACTCGACTATTGGGCCTCCTGCAGTAGCATTGACAACCTCAAAATATTTCATATGCTCCCCCTTTTATTTTAAGGCAATCACAGTTGCGGTCCATTTTCCTGCTTTTTTCAGGGGGGTTGGGGGGTGTAGATCAAAGTGATTCAAAGAATGGATGCGATGGACGGTTGTCAAAAATTGTATAACCATTAAACCCATTCAGGTTGGTGATATTGTCGCCGTACTGATCCTTCCAGGTAATTGTCAGATTTTTTGGAGAAAAAAATATTACATTTGTGGCAGTTCACCAAGGAGCTGCTGAACTAGCTCTTTTTTGAAATCTGTTCTAGCACGAGTTTACTTTCTATTACTGCGATTCTAATATATAGGATTGACCTAATTCCTCTAAATATAAGTGACGGCCTTCACCGATAATTCATTGTACACCAATGTGCTCTTGTAAGAAGGTATTTATACTTTACATATTTTAAACAAATATTACAGAAGTACACGTATTTACTTATAGTGTATCTTTAATCATAAAACCTTATACAGAAATTAACATTCATCAGCTCTGCCTTCAGACTTGTGTTGGTGTAGAAGGCGGCTCTCAATTTACGCTCTGACGGTGTAACTGCTGTTAGCCTCCAGCGAGCTCCTGGCAGCTATCCCCGCGAAGCCGGTGTGTTTATGACACAGGGGTCAAACTCAAGGCCCGGGGGCCAGATCTGGCCCGCCACATCATTTTATGAAGCAGCTCAAACATGTGAACTTCCATGATCCTTTCTAAAATCTCTCTCTCTCTCTCTCTCTCTCTCTCTCTCTCTCTCTCTCTCTCTCTCTCTCTCTCTCTATATATATATATACAGACACACACACACATGCGCGCGTGCACACACACACCTCAAAGTGCAGAGTTGCAGGGTTCGATTCTGGCTCCGGCCTCTCTGGGAGGAGTTTGCATATACCTGCGTGGGTTTTCTCCGAGTACTCTGGTGTCCTCCCACATTCCAAAAACATGCATGGTAGGTTAATAGAACACTCTAAATTGTCTCTAGGTGTGAGTGTGAGCATGGATGGTTGTTCGTCTGGGTGTGTGACCCGCCTACTGCCTGAAGACAGCTGGGATAGGAACCAGCACCCCCCACGACCCTTGTGAGGATAAAGCCGATCGGTAAAAAATGATGGATGGATCCTGAAGTGATTTTCATTCACAGTATAGGCTTTAATATTGCTGCATGGCGGTTTTTCATATCGTCACAAAATATTTGCATTTGTTTCAGTGCTACCTTTCATGGTTATAGATGATTCGAGTGAAGGTTTGGAATGTGTGACTGCAAATGATGATGTTTTGCTTAGTGTAAATGAGAGACTGTTTGCATTTGGGTGTGATTGAGGAAGAGGGGGTGCCAAGGTGTCACCAGCAAGGGGGGACCCCGGCTGGACCCCTGTACTGGAGATCACAATCGGCACTTAAAAGGGCCCCCCACAGCAGGACGGCCACTTGCAACTACAAAAGACAGACCATATCCACACCAAAGGAAGATTCACAACAGAATGACAATTCACTCCAAATCTGACAGATCCAGTTGATAACACCCGGACTGTCCTCTCAGACAATTTGCTCATGCCTGAAAACACACACACACACACACACACACACACACAGGCATACCCTTTTTGGGAATTGTATTAAAGGTGGGTCAAGGGAAAGGCATCTTTGTCACTCTGCCTCGCTACCCTTGCGGTGAGAAGAAGTTGATGACCCAGAGCTCTGTTTAGAATAATTGGCTTGATCTATTTGTTCGGGATTAAATACTTTTCTGTGTTACTGACTCGATAGACGTGTGGATGTTGTCATTCCTGAGCCCATCAACGAGCAACCCAGAAATCCACCAAGGTATTTGATTATTGGTGGAAGTTCCGCCTTCAAAAAAAAAAAATATATATATATATATATATATAAGTTTTTTTTAATCCTCGTCTCACCCCTTAGGTGGTGTCCATACCCCATTCAGCTCGGGTCCTCAGACCCACAGAAATAAGATTAATTTGTCGATAGTCATTTTCAACAAAGAGAGTGTCGCTAAGACGATTAGAAGAAGTCTCCACTTCAACTCAGAACAGAATGAGAATTGAAAAATGCTCCCACAGATGCTGACACCAAAAGATCGGTGATTGGCTCATTTCGCTGTAAATCAAAAAGAGATTCAGCCTCAGACAGATCATCCAATCATGCAGAAAACCTGAGCGTCCGGGTCAGCTGATAAACGCCCACTGTCCATCGACTCCTAGAGACGCTGAGCAGCCGATGGGCGGGACAAAACCAGCATTTATCCAATGATTCGTCTCGTTTCAATGCATTGGGGCAATGGGCTCTGAACTCTCGAGATCAGGGGTGGCCAACCCGCGGCTCGCCGGCAATCCCGTTACTTGATTGACATAGAGGGCAACCAATCAGATGACTGCATCACCGCTCATGCGCAAACAACGGCGCTAAGCTAGTCAGCGAATTACCTCTGATTTTAAGGCAGGGGTGCCCAATACGTCGATCAGAATCGACCAGGAGCCAGCGAACTGGTCCCAAGTCGACCGCAAGGGGTGGGAGGAGGAAATGGGTAGGGAAAAAAGAGATTTTTTGTTTGTATCTTTAGCTTTCGTTCATTTTCGGCCCATTCCGACTGTTGCTCATCGTTGTGTGTGTCCATATGTGCGCAAGTGCACTGGTGGGCACCCGCGTGAGTGCGTGCGTGCGTGCGTGCGAGCACACGTGTGTGATCGGGTCGTTCGTGGGAAGTTGGTCGCTTCAAAAGTCGATCTTTGGCCAAAAAAGTGTGTGTTGTGTGTGTGTGTGTGTGTGTGTGTGTGTGTGTGTGTGTGTGTGTGTGTGTGTGTGTGTGTGTGTGTGTGTGCGTGCGCGACAAGGTATGATGTCGCTCTTTGCAGTAACACAGTAAAAAAATTGGCTCTTCGTCTCTGACTGGTTGGCCACCCCTGCTCTAGACGCCCAGCGTCCGCGCTGTAAACGCTCAGCGTCCACACAGTATAAAACCTTCGTACCGGGATTTGAAGACGTGGTGACCTTCCGATAGTCCAAAATTGACAAATTTTGGACAGAACCCGGTACTAAGGTTTTAATTAAAGCACAGTGAAGCTGCGGGAATGAATGACGAGAGTCGCTTCGTAACCAGGAATAAGAAGCTGCTTCAGAACAAAAGATGAGCGTGTTGTAGCGCATATTTAGTCAATAACACGTACACACAGTTGTATGTACACACATACTGTATATTTGATCATTTATTTTTTGACATTTCAGGGGAAGCTGTGCTTCCCTTGCAGTGTTAGAGCAATCCGCCTCTGATACATATATATATATATATTAAATCCTCGTCTCACCCCTCGGGTGGTGTCCATCCCTCATTCAGCTCGGGTCCTCTACCAGAGGCCAGGAAGCTTGAGGGTTCTGCGCAGTATCCTTGCTGTTCCCAGCACTGCACAT